ACATACAAAGTCTGCGTATATGTATATATACACATATGTATATATACACATAAATGTGCACATATATGTCTGTCTATCTATCTATCTATCTATCTATCTATCTATCTATCTATCTAATCTATCATCTCTCTTTCATTTATCTGTAATTGACTGGACTTGTTCCTCTACCAAGTCAGGTGAACACCATCTTTGCAATTTATAGTCTCAGAGAGTTGTCTAGAACTCTGAGCCATTAAGCGACTCTCCAAGGGTCACTTAGCTTATATAACAAGCAGGGCTTGAGCCCAGGTCTTCCTTGGCTTAGGGGCCAACTCTCAGGCCCCATTGTCTCTCCAGTATTGTTATTACTATTTTACAGGTGAGAGACCTGAGGCTGAGCGAGGTTAAGTAACTTGTCCATGGTCACATGACTCAGTTGCCAGGCAGCATTTGAAACTATTTGTGTGTTGTGTGTGTGTGTGTGTATGTGTGTGTACGCATGTGTATATATTTATATGACCATCTTTCAGCATGTCCTAACCCTGGGTCACCTCTCCTGTCCACTTTCCCAGATCCTACATCTGGGTGGTTGAGCACTTCTGGAGAAAGTCACAGGATTATGAGTGCAGACTTGGCTCACTATGAATATATACCTTGTAACTTTAACTGGGCCCCAGCAACTGTTTGAAGTTCCTTTTATTTATCTGGGCCCTCTGGAAGGGACCTTAGAGGCATCAGTTCCAACCCCCTCATTTTACAGATAAGGAAACGGAGACTGAGAGAGATTATTTAATTTGCCATGATCACATAGCTAGTAAATGTCTGAGGCAACATTTGAACTCAACTCTACCCTAACCTTGAACTTATTGCTCTGTCTACTGCACTTTCTAGCTGTCTGCTTTCTAATGCTACCTCCCTTTCCGCCTATTATCCATTTTCCCCCCTTCCTGTCTTCTCTAGGACCTTGCTCCACCAATTATTTCCTATCTCTTCCATTTTCAGTATCTCTCCTTCTCCCTTTCTCCTGTCTCCTTCTCTGCATTATATACAGACTTCTCTTAATTAGAAAAAAATCACTTGCCTCATGCTGCTGTGACTGCTGTTTTCCTCTCTTTTTTCCCTGACAAATTTCTCCAATGAGTGGTCAGCATCTGCTGAATTCCTTTCACTCTAACAATTGATTGGAGGAGGTAGAAATATCAGATAAGACATAGTCCCTTGCCCTTAGGAAGCTTACAATCTACTAGTTCCTTGGGCCTTGGAGTTCCTTAGTCCTAATGTACTATGCTCAGCTTTCTTCTGGGTAAATCTGGCCTCTTATTTCACTGACATCATTTAAGGGGCAGGGGCAGTGAGGAGAAATAGCTTGTCTCCCTCCCCCATGATGAGTTGGCACCTTCTGGACTTTTACTTTCATTATCTCACTGGCTTTACTAATGGTATCTCTATATCCTATACTGAAATCTATATATACTGACATTCTTAGTATCTAACTAAACTTTATTTTATAACAAAATTTCAGTAAATTAAGTCTAGGTCATGCAGGGATATCATCTGTAAAATTTTACAGTATTAAGGTCATGAGATTTAGGCAGCTGTAAGGGACCTTAGGAGTAGTCTAGTCCAAATGCCTCATTTCGCATAGGAGGGAATAGAAGCAAGTGATTTACCCAGGGTCATACTAGTCATAAGTAGAAATTTGAATCCAGAGCTAAATTCAGATCCAAATTGAACCCAGAATCTAAATTCAGGCAATGTTTTGTTCAAGTTAACCAACACAAACCATTGGCTACAGTTTAGCTTATGTAGCTTATAGTTTAGCTTTTTAACTGATTAAGAGACTTTCTTGCATATTACCTGCCCTTATTATTAATTTTTTAAATCTACCCTCCTTCTGCCCTCCAGTCCTGGTTGGGACCTACCTTCTCAGCCCTTTTTCTGTTCTCTAACGAAAATTCTTTCCTATTTAGATTCTTAAATCAAGAGTTCTTATCCTGTGGTTGATAGCCAGCCCCTACCCCACTCCCACAAGTGGGCCTCTGGTTGGATTTCAGGGCATCCATAAACTCAGATGGGGAAAAAAATGACATATTTTTTCACTAGCCTCCAACTGAGATTTGCCTTCTTTTTCAATTATTTTAAAACAGTTTTCTGAGAAGGGTTTCAAAGACTTCACCATATTGCCAAAGGGGTCCATGACATAAAAATAGTTAAAAACCCTTTTTTTCTAGATAGACCTTTCTACATTCTAGCTAAAACAGAGCTGATATTGTGGACAGTGCCCTTCACTCCTCTAGTAGGCACATAAGCTGTAACAGTAAGGTAGGTACATGATTTAAGGCAGCACCTGAGGCCAATAGCATTAATAAGGGCATCAATCTCTTACTCCACTGTGAACTACCTGTAGTTAGTAGACTAAAGGGAGAAGACAACTCAGGCCTTCTGGGATGGTGCCGCTAAACTGGCTCTTTTACTATGGCTAAAAGGTCGATTAACTTTCATCCTTTAATAGGAAGCAGATCCAGAGAAGCAGGTGAAAAATCATTACTTATAGATGAGGCTATGTTGTTTCAAGAAGTCTTTCCCTGTGTGTCTGTGTTGGTGCTCCTCTGTGTTCTCCACATCCCTGGAGTAGTCCTATATGTCAGTCTGTGTGCCAAGCTGCCTCTCCTTAGCTAGAACATCAGGGATGGGGTGACCGCCTCCAAAGGTCAGGACAGCTGCATCCTTTGAGCTAATCCTTCCTCTCCTGGGTGTTCTTATGTCAGAGGTCTCAGGATCCTGATGCTGGTAGCTAGTAGACCTGGACTCTAATCCTAGGAAAGACAGTCTTCTTACCATTTCCTTTCATCTGTGAAATAGACCCTTCTCTGTCTCTTCAAGTCTCCTTGGTATGTCATTTCTTTCATCTTTGCCTACCCTGCACTTGGAATTCACCCCTTTGGATGTTTCATGATATTTTGATGCTCAGTTTCTTCTTTGGGCACTTATGTGACTATTCGCCTTCTATCTCCAACTTTATTCCAGGGACATTCCTAGGATCCTATCTATTTGGGAAGCAAAAGCCTGGGTAGCCTCAGTCTTGTGGTCTTCCCAATTTCAAGGATGAAAACTAGAATAGGATCTATATGAATATGTATCTAGTCCCTGAAAAGATGAGTATTGAAAAATTGGCAGAGGAAGCAAAAGTAACATGTGAAGAGAGGAGTGTGAGTATGGTGGGAATGCATTCGACCAAGAAGAACTTGTGTGTTATCCCCGTTATTGCCTACACTTAATAAATAAGGATTGGGGGATGGAGGAGAGCTGTCTAGCATGAGTGAGAAAGTCAGCTGCAGAGGCCAGGAATAGAATCTACTGAGAGTTTTGGCTCCCTCTATCTGGCAGAGGTAGAACTAGTCTCAACACATGACACCTCAAGATTTCAGCCTTCAGATGGGTTGACCCACTGTCTTTTGGAAAGAACATGGTATAGGGGAAAAATTATGTTGCTTATAATCAAAAAACTGGGGTTTAAGCCCTGACTCTGCCACTTATGCCTAATGTGGCCATTAACTTGAACAAATCTTTGACTTTCAGTTTCCTCATCTATGAAATGGGAGTGGTGGTGGTGGTGGTGGTGGTGGTGGTGGTGGTGGTGATGGTGATAGATGGATGGACAAGATGACCTCTCAATTCCCCTCTGGCTCTAAATCTATGATTCCTATTTTTTCCCCTTTGGTGGTGGGAAAGGGTGTGTGTGTGTGTGTCTTGGTAGTTGTGGTTCTGTAAGGACTGAGGATTACTGAATCTTCTACAAGGAAGAAATCATGTTATAATCATTGGTAGGGGAGGGACTGGTACGCAGAAGATCTATTGTGAGCCCAGAACATAACAGGGTGGGATAGGGAAGAGAGTTTTCACAAGTCAAGATGGGCAGGTCCATCTTCAGGAAAGAGACATTCAGGTATGAGAAGCCATCCTTCCCATTAAGGGCAGAAGGGGACACTTCAGGATAATCGTTTTCCATATGGAATCTGGCTGTGCTATCCAAACTTATAATCTCAGAGAAGGCTAAATGAGGGCTGGCAGGATAATGCTGACAGGAAAGCATTATCTGGAGAATTAAAATTTGTGAGGGAATGAGCTTTCTATGTTTATTCAGGTTTGCCTCAATTCATCTCTGGGATAAAATTGGATTAAGGTGATACCTGAGCTTCTGGCTTTATTAGGAATAAAACTGTATCAAGTTGACTTCCTGAGGATGTATAATATACAAACATCTGTCTAAATCTATGTGAAAATTAGCACAAAGTGTTGATGTCTTTTAGTATAAAACCTGTATTTTCTTAGGGGGATGGGGAAATGAGTTATATGCCAGTTTATATCTTGATCCCCCCTAAGGTCAGTTATACATTTCAGCATATTTTGAGGATTTCTGAATGCCCCAGATCTTCCTCTATCAACCCTAAGCACTTCTAATGGATCAGGTAAAGTGGGACATCTTACATAGCTGGACTAGTCTTGGTCCAAGGACTAGGCTTTACAACTTGGAAGCATCTTCTGTAGGCCCTTGACCTGAACCTTTTCTAAAGAGCCAGGATTTTCCTGAGGGAGGGGTTCCAGAGGAGTTTGGCAGTTGGGTACACGTGCAATGATTAGAATCTAGTGAGTGTGGAAGGGGAGAGGAGGGAGGGCTCCCCTCAAACATGGCTACGTGGCCCAATTCTCACTCTGGCCATGGGGAATTTGGGACAGTAGTTGTTTATTTCACGGTCATTGGTAGAAAGTTTTGAGTACTTTCCTGTATCAGAGCCCCAGAGGAAACCTGGTAAAGACCTTACCTGAGAAGTAGGATGGTTTTGGCCACAATGATCTTAACAGGAGGATGAGATGTTTCTTTGAGCAGACACTAACTTGGAAGATGAGGAATGGAAGACCCTAACGTAGACAAAGAGTCTATGGCTCTCATCACTGCAGCCCAGTTCTCACGTATGAATGGGCCTTTCTGTTTTATCATTTCTTTTCTTTTCTTTGTTCAGGAAAGGCCCTTGCAGTAGGTGCCACTGTTACCAGAGGCCTGAAAGCCAGGGAGGCTCTGCCTTCTCCAAGTCAAGACAAGACAGCTAGCCCAATGGGCAATCAGGTAAAGCTCTGTGATATGTCAATACAGTGGGGTGTGTTTTGAGTCAGCCTTGGTTATTAATACTTAAACCTCTGACAGAAGCCACTGGCTCCCAAGAAAACCCTGTGTTCATAGGTTTGTATTTTGCTCTCCTAAATGTAATTGATGCTCAATTCCCCTGTTATATCTGAAATGAAAAGGGAGCTAAGTAAGCCTTTGGAAAAATAGAACATCTTTAAATTCTTTCTTTTTAAAGCCAAAGAAAAGCTATCTTTACTTTCACTCTAATCACTTAGATGATCTTTTTTTTATGTTTTAAATGAGTTTTAGATCTGCCTTCTATTTCATTTTGTACTGCTAGTAGAGATGATGAAGTGACACAGGAAGTTGTCATAAGGAGGGGGAGGGTCTCAGAGCCTGGAATTTCTTAATTCATATTAAAGCTAACTAAAAAAAATGTAAGGATTGAAGAGATAAGTCCAGAAGGAACTAAACACTTCCCTTAGTCCTTCCCTTATCTTCACCATGGGGACACTGTTGGGGTCATAGCGGAATTTTGTTATGTGGTTGTACTGTCCAAAAGAGTTTTTAGTTTTGGTACCTCCAGGATGAAACTGACTTCACTTCTCATTGAAGGGTGGAACAGACAGGGGGCTCTACATTCAGTTTTTCCCACAGACCAGTATCACTGACAGCTTTTCTCTCCAATTACAAATACAGACCATCACTTAACCTTACAGTGTCCTGAGTAGCTTTTTAAGCCTTTGTATAGGTTCTAACCTGGTTTAAAAACATAAAATAAAACATAAAGCATTACAAAGAAACCAATGGTAGTCAAAATAAAAATGTGATTTCCCCCCCCTCCCATCCATATTCATGGGCATCATGAAATCTAGTCATTGACCCTTTTGGGGTCCACGGACCTCAGGTTAACAATCCTTGCTCTAAGGCTAGAAGTTCTGAAGAGAAGCTGATCTTTCTGAGTGAAATAAGTTTCCACACATAGAGTGCCACACATTGATGAAATCATAGGTCTTTACCCGAAAGAGTCCCTCAAACTCTCGGAAACAGAAGAATGAAGAATATGATACTTTGGTCCAATGCTGATCCTTTTCTTTTCTCTGACAGATTATTTGCTTGGAGAGCAGAAGATTTTAAGGTGAAAGGCTTTAAATGTGAACAAAAAGTCCACTTTTGATTTGTGTTTGACATTATATCGAAGAGGAATTCTGCTGAATTGGTAGTTGTTTAGTTAGTAATCTTCAGGCTTTCTATAAAGAAAAATAGAAAAATGACTTCTATAGATGACATGTTTGAAGATTCCTGCTTCTTATGGAGAAAATGATGGTGCTTTGGATTGTTAATTTTGGCTTACAGTTAAGCTGCCTTCTCCAGGCTGTAGACCAGCAGTCTTAAATTTCATGAAGTTAAATAGGACTATTGCCATGAGGTCCCTCTTAGGTGACTATTTAGGAATTCCATAAAGATTCCTTACTGGTCTCCCTGACTCAAGGCAACATGGCCTTCATAGTGAATCCTTCCACAGATGTGTTGTGGAAAGATCCCTTTCTCTTCCACTAGACCCCAGAAAATCCATCAAACTTTTTTTTTGCTTGACACTCATTTGTTAGTGCACACAATCTACAGAAAAGCTATGTCTTGAAGGATTTATTCCATTTCTCCTTGTTATGCTTCAGAATTTTTACACAAATCATAAGGCACTGACATATTTCATTCGGCCTGAGACATTTTGGTCACCCAAGCTAAACTCCAATTTGAAGAGCAACCACCTGGAACAGTCTGAATCTATTGCCAAATGTAATCGAATTACCTTTTGAAGCATGATTCTAAATATGTGCTCCAGTGTGAATTTTTATGGGATCTTTGCATTTAAAGATGACATTTTATTATTTATGTATATTTTCATATACATGTATATATTTTATATAAAGAATATATTTCATTTAAAGAACATATAGGTATGTACGTACATATGTGTATATGCTGTACATACACACACACACATATACATACATACCTCTGTGTGTGTTTGTATGTATGTGTCTGTGTGTATGTATGAAAGAGTTACCCTTCATTTCTTTTTGTTTCTTGGAAACACAATATCATAACACACCACTGTATCTCTTCTCTATCTTGGCCCACCTTATCTATTTCTTCTGCCATTCTCATTCCAAGAAATCCTGAAACTGTTATTTAGAAAATAATCATTGCTAATCAGTGCTGCAAGACAGGTTTGCAGGTTACAGATGGTCCTACTTTGCTATCCCAGTTCCTTATTTGCTGTGAGCCACATTGGTTTATTGGAAGCCATATTGTTATTTGCTCTTGTTAGTTTAGTCTTGTCAGGTGTCAATGGTTTTGTGAACACTTTGAGCACCGTAAGGCTTTTCAATGATTACATGGGATGGGTCATTTCAGACCACTCACCCTGGAAATGAGAACGCAATCTATCTATAGTCATGCATCTTTAAATGGGATCTGCTCAGTCTCTTAGTACTAAAAGTATGTTCTTACTGGGGGCAGGATGGTAAGGGTGGCGTATTTACTTTGTATTTAAAAATAAGGTAGCAGGGTAATGACTCTTTTAACAAACAAGACTTCTGCTCTACAAGAACAAATTTATTATGCTTACAACTGTAACATCCCTGCCCATTCTTTATGTACAGAGAATAACCCAATATATCCTTTTTGCTCTGGGAAATAAATGAAGTATAGGTAAGTAGCTTCCCTACTATGTATGTATCAACTGCTCCCCGGTTGGGAAGGAGTACCTCCCAAATGCTCTTACAGATGGTCTTTGCTTTAATCAAAAGGCAGGATCCAATTTTCTCTCACATGTTGTGTAATCAGCCACTGTTGTTCATTCACAGAGTTTTTTCCCCCTCTTCTATCTCCATCTGGAGGGCAGTCAAATGTCTGTCTTCTTGGCTCCTTTTGCAACGAGGGGTTACTCTCTGGCAGTTGTATCTGGCATCCTTTTGCCTTGGAAAAAGCCCCACTTGTGTTTGTTAGCAGTTGGGGCTCATCTAATGACTTTTTTCAGATGCCATTTTATAGATGAGAGGTATCTCTCACACTGGGTATCATAAATCCTTTAAGTGATCATCCTCTCATAATTGATGAGTCTTCATAATAGATGTGGGCTCATTCTGGGCTCAGTGAAGCATAGAAGACAGTGTGCTCTTTGGATTGCCTGGTAACGCATTGTTCTGAATTTCACAAGCACAGTGTGGCTGCTTTACTATGCTCATTTCATTCTGATTGGGCCTTCTGCTTGTAGTTCCAATCTCTGTGGCCAAGTTTCAGGGAGAATATTGGCTTTATCTATGGGGGTGGGAAATGCTTATGACCATATGAATGTCATGGTCAGAATAAAACATTTGCAAATCACTTTTAATCGTGCTATCTGTTCAATGAGTGGTAGCATGGATTGGTGGGTAGAGAACCAGTTTTGGAGTCAGGAAGGCCTGGGTTCAAGCCCTACATCTGAGACACCTAGCAACTCTGTGGAAAAGTCAACATATTACAGTGGGGTGGGGAGGGAAGTACTGGCTTGGGTTCCAAGGATCCAATTTCAAATCCTGTCCCTGTCGCTTACTACCTGTGTAACTTTGAGCAAGTCTGTTGACTTACCAGAGCTTCCATTCCTCCATCTACAAAATGAGGGCTTGAATTAGAGGGCCTCAGAGGAGCCTTCTAACACTAAATCTATGATTCAACAATCTGGTGTCCCTAACTGACTCTAAGTTGTTGTCCTAGTATGGAAACTAGGAGCTCTCTACCTGGGGGAAGTCCATAGCCTTCACCCCTCCCCCAAACAAGCTTAGTGTTACCATTTTCGAGTACTCACATCATAGGCTCAGTGATTCTGAGCTGAAAAAGCCCTTAGCAATGGGTGTAATCAATTAAGAGATGCACACTCTGAGGCAACCAGAGGTTTAAGTGACTTTGCCTGAGGTTCCATGGGAAGTGATTGGCAGATCTGAGGTCCATGTCTTCCTAAAAACTTTGCAGTTAGAACTAACCTAATATCAGGTGTGCTTTTTTTGGGGGGAGTGGAGTTTCCAATTCCACAAAAAAGGCTTGAAGGATATAGATTGGAATGATGGCTCATTTAAAATCTTTAATACAATATTGAAATCAGGACCATGAGCATTAATGAGTTCTGTCAAATTGGTTAATCAAGTTCTATTTTTAGGTTTTTTTTTTTAAACTTTACTGCTATGCTTTCTAATAGCCGGTTGTTCAATAAACCAGCTTGGGTCATACCGCTAATAATAATTGACATTTATATAGTGTTTTAAGGTTTGCAAAGTACTTAGCATACCTTATGTTCTAAATGAATTGAATGCAATAAATACTAGCCTTAAGGACCTTCATGTAAACCTGGCAAGGAGAATTCTGTTGTGATTGGTTAATGAGTTGTCTGCTGTTTTTATTAATTGGATTTGCCATTAAACTATACAGAGGATTTTAGTGTCACTTAATAACAACTTATATTTGTAAAGTATTTTTACACTTTACTCTGGCATCCACTATCTCATGTAAGAGGCAGGGACATAGGCATCTTCCCTTGGAGGCCTTTGTTTTACTCTCATTGCCTACAATATTTCCCTTGACTGTTAGGAGGGCAATTGTGAGCCGTGCTTGCATGTACAGACTTGTGTGACACTGTGTTTTAAAAATGCCATTGTTCATTATGAACACACTGCTATTATAAGAGGCGAGAAATCACTGTGTTTTCTAAAGTTGTATTTGCTGAAAACGTTGCCATGATTCCTGATTCCTGCCTTTTGTCCACAGGTCTTTGAAACTAAAGTTAACTCACGGAAGGTGGAATTATGTCTACAGAGTTTCTCCCTTAGGAATGATTATGCAGATCTCCTTGAAGAGAGTACAGCTAGGTATCATTTGCATGTTTTGTGACATCTTGATCCTCTCCCCCAGAGCAATGATTCTTAGCTTTTTTTTTTTCATGTCATGGACCCCTTTGACAGTCTAGGGAAGCCTATGGACTGCTCAGAATAATGTGTGTGTGTGTGTGTGTGTGTGTGTGTTTAAATCATGATTGAAAGAAATGCTAAATTTCGGTTAGCGATTAGAAAAGGTAAAGATACATTTTTCCCACCCCAGTTCATGACCCACTAAGATCTATCTTATCCATGGACCCTTTGGGGGCTAATGGACTCCAGGTTAAGAAACACTTGCCCTAAAGCTTATTTATGGTTATCTCTCCATCTGGGCCCAATTGGATGTTAAATAGTGTTGCCTCAATGATCTGAATTTGGGGGGGAGGTCATGCTTAGAATATTACAGCAGTTAATAAGAGTATGCCAGATGGAAATTGCTTTTAAAAATGTGGTCCCAGAAGCACAATGTTTTAAACTGACTTTCTTCTCCCACATTGTATCTGAGAAGTCATTGATGTGCATTCATCAGTGCAGATTGCAATCCATCCATGCCCTGTAAACCTGTGTGACCCTTTTCTGTGCCCTCCCATAAATTCTCCACAAGGGGTCTGTCCAACTTGCTGACGGTCTTCCTTTTAGATCTCCTGATGTTGCCTGGACACCAGTGGAGTACATGGGCTATTTTAAACAGATCATAAGGATTATTTTATGAGATTCTCTCTTCTAGACCTTCAAGCAGGAGCCATCCTGTGTTACTGCTTACTTGCTGTGATCATTTTTCACAGTACTGTTATATAATTTTCACTAACCCCATTAAATGGTGGAAGGAAATATTATAATAAGCCTGGTTTGAGTGATTTGAAGGTTTCACTTACCCTTTTGGGTTACTGAAAGACCATTAATTAAATGACTATTTTGGTGACCTAAATGTTATCTTGGTGGACTGAATGTTAGCTCACATTCTAGAAATGTTCTGCTTGCTCTCATGAAACAATGGATATATTAAAAGAGGGGTTCTTCACTTTTTGTGTGTCATGGCAGACTTGGGGACCCTTTCTCAGAATGTCATAATTAAAGGACATAGGAAACTTGAGTTGAAGGTTTGTGAAAAATTAAGATGTATTTTTACCATTCAAATTCATGGATCCCCCTGAAGTCTACCCATTGATCCCAGGGACCTGTGGATCCCAAGTTAAGAACCTGGGAGAACTTGGATTTATTTCACTTATTTCTATATTGAGTAATTTCTGTCTCCCTTACATCCTTGCCTTGTTAGCTGACCTTCAGTGGTTCCCCATTCTCTACGCCTAAAGGCCTAAATTCTTTATCCTATTTATTAGCTGTTTTTCCAGGCTAACTTCAGTCTACCTCTCCATCCTTACTCTTTTATTTCTCTTCTGCTCCAACCTAACCCATCCACTCACTATTCCCTAAACACTAGCTGAATTTTCCCAACTCTAAGTCTTTGTTCATGCTGTTCTCCCTGCCCCAAATGCTCTCCCTTGCACACCTGTGCCCCCCTACTTAGCTTTCAAGGCCTAGCTCTAGTCTGAACTTGGTGAACCTCTTACCTGAACAAGAGAGGAGCTCAATAATTATTTTGCTTAAGTGCTGATAGCACTTACAACTCAATGACTCACACTAATATTTTGCTTTAAGACTTACAAAGCTTTGTCCTCTATTGACCTGGTGTATTAGCTAGTAAAGCATGATTATTCTCATTTTACAGATGAGGAAGGTAAGATTCAGGAATATTCAGTAACTTGCTGAGGGTCATAAAGCAAATAAGTCTCTGATCCTGGTTTGGAGTGGAGGTCTCTCCTAATACTAAGCCCAATACTCTTCTTACTCTACCACTGTGCAATGACAAATGACTCCAGTATCTTTGTCAAGAAAACCCCAAATGGGGTCACAAAGAATCAGATACGACTGTAATGAATGAACAACAATCTTATTTATCAATTAACTCATAGTACCTTGTCAGTCAGTTCAAAAGCATTTATTAAGTATCTACTATGCTCCAGACAATGTCTAATGGGCTTGAGATACAAAGAAAGGGAGAAAACCAATCCTTTCTCTCAATAAATTTGCAGTCTGACAAGGGAGAAAGCATGCAAACAGCTATGTATAAGCAAGATATATGTGGGATAAATGAAATAATTAGCAGAGGGAAGCCTCTAATTGTAAGGCTTGTTGTAGAAGTTTGGAAAAGTCAATGCAGTAAATGGGATAGTGAATTAGAGAGGTGTAAAAGGATTGCTTTGCTGCAGTGAGGGCCCAATTGAGATCATATAACATATATTTGTAATGGACCCAATTAGCATTGTTTTATAATTTTCTTCAACTTTATCAGAACATAAGTAGGACTGAAAGCGTTAGATGATGGAAGTAATCCAAAGGTGAGGCTCAATGGGACAAGAACTATGATAAGATAAAAAGATGAAGACTGGAGAAAAGAGGCCAATATTGAGTTGAAATGGTTCACCAAAGGATCAAGATGGGGAAGAGAAGAGTATAGCCTATGCATGGGGTGATATCCTGGGAAAGAACGGTGGGTACAAAGATTAAAGATCATAGTGCAGATGCAGAAGAGGGTTGGGGGTTGAAAGGCACAGGGAAAGGTGGAATAACAACAGATTGTAATCATATAAGGGAATTTCAGAATTCATGAACCTTGTGGTGTTATCATTTGCATCTATATTTCTGGTCTTTCTCACTAGTTTGTGAATTCCTTGGGGAGGAATGGCAATTTTATATTTATGAGATCGTAGATTTAGATATGAAAGGACCTCAGAGGATATTTGGTCCAACAGATGAAGAAACTGAGGCCCCTGTAAGTTAAGGATCTTGTTCAAGGTCACACAGTAATATATGACAAGAGATGGGATTTGAACTCAGACCCCTTACTCTAGACCCAATGCTCTGTTCACTATACTCTCCTTTTTTTACCCTGTTTCTTTGTATCTCTAACATAGTAGTTGCTACATGTTGGCTGATCTATTCGAAAATAGTGTATCCATTGAAAGTTCTCTTTCTTTTCAAACTTCAATTTTGAGTTTTAATCAAGAGTGTGAGATAACCATCCCCACAAAGAAAATATAAGCAAATCACCCTTAAAATTTTGATCTGCATTATTAGCATTTTCATAAGTCTAGAGATCAAGAAAACAAAAAGTCCAGCCCTGATTTGTATCATGTGTGTGAATTAATAGTGGGCTCTACTGGCTTGAGCTAGCTCCATCATACCTCTGTGTTTAAACATCTCCGGTGCCAGGCAAAGGACCTTTCTTTGTATCCTCAGGACTCAGCATGATGCCTGACACATGGTAGGCACTTAGTAAATGCTTGTTGGCTGACTTAACTTTCTAACTTTATGATTCTGTGATTCAATGATGATAAAGGACAGACATTTAGGCAGGAATAGAAGAATTAGACCTGGTAAGGTCCCCTTTCCTCTTACTTGAACCAGTAGAAAGTAGTTGCAGTCTCTTCTAATTTCGTTCTTTCCCAGCCCTAGCAAGTGAAAAAAACCACATCCCAGGCAGTCAGTCAAGAAACATGGCTTACTATGTGCCAGACATTGTACTAACATTGTGCTATGCATACAAAGAAGGCAAAAGAACTCCATTAACTTGTAATTAATGAGTGCCACTTGGAGTCATACTATCATAAACCTCTAGCTGCCTCAGAGGTAATTTTATCCAACACATCATTTTAAAGATGATACGTAAAATAAGTAGTCCAAAATCAATGGTAATGACCCAGCTGGTATTTAAACAGAGGTCCTTTGGGGTACAAAGAAAGCTAAAACTATGTGCTTCTTATCCTCACTTGGAGAAGCTTGCATTCTGATTGGGGCAGGGAGGGGAGAGAGTGCAACATGTTAATAAATACATATATACAAGATATGTACATTGTAAATATATACAAGATACGTACATTGTAAATGGAGGTAATCTCAGAGGTTAAGCACTAGTAGCTGCTTTGGGAGAGTGAACGAAAGAGGGGCAACAGAGAAAGATCTCTTGAAGAAGGTGAGATTTGAACTAAGTCTTTAAGGAAAACAGGGAAACCAGTAGGCAGAAGCAAGGAGTGAGAACATTCCAGACAAAGGGACAGCCAAGTACAATACACAGAGACAATTAATGTGACTTAGAGAGTCTGTGGCTTCCAGTGTTCAAAATTTTAAAGGTGACCTGCTTACATTTTCTTTGGAGGGATGGTTATCTCACACCCCTGATCAAACCCCAAAACTGAAGTTTGAAAAGGAAGACAACCCTCAATGGATACACTACTTTTTGTTATGAAGATGAGCATGGTGAGGAAGGGGAGGTTATTAATCAACAGCTCACACTTTGAAAGGGCAGCTAAGTGGCGTAGTGGGAATAGAGTGCCTGGCTTGGAGTCTTCCTGAGTTCAAATATGATCTTCGGCACTTATTAACCTTGCGATCCCAGGCAAGTCACTTCACCCTGTCTGCCTCAGTTTCCTCATCTATAAAATGAGCTGGAGAAGGAAATGGCAAGCAACTCCAGTATCTTTGCCAGGAAAACCCCAAATGGAGTCATGAAGAGTTGGGACATAACTGAAAAATGACTGAACAACAATCACACTTTGAAGCCCTTTAAGAACTGTCAAGCACCTTACATGCATTATAACAATGTGCTTGCTCTTTCAAATAAGGATAAAAGCTGTAGGAAGACAAACACTGATAAAATTAGGGTCAGAGAGAATCCTTTTGCTCAAAGAAGTATCCTTCATTCACTTTCTTGGCAGCTATTAGCTTCTATATTAACATTCTAACAGGTCCCAATTTGTGCACTGCTCTCTCTTCCTCATTTCCTTTCCACATTTCTTCATTGCTACCTCCTTTCTTTTTTTCTTTCCTCTCCTTCCCTCCTGTCTTTTCTTTCTTTCCTGACTTGGATTCAGGCTTGCAACGCATGGTCACTACTTAAGGTGTTTTTTTTTTCCATAGCCCTCCAGGGAAAAGAGGCTGCTTTCTTTTTTGTGTTTTGAAGAATTCCTTTTCCCAGGATGATTTGTTGCTTGCTCCAGAGAGGCAGCATGGGAGTAATGGAGAGAGAACCAACCTCAGAGCCAGAAGACCTGGCTTCAACTTCTGTCTCTTACACATCCTGGCGCCATGTTACACTGGGGAACTTTTCAGAGCTCTAGATAACTCTCTAAGACTTTAGGTCACAAAAAAGATGCTAACCAAGTAAAAATAAAGGGAGTTCCTTTACCCAGGGGTTTCCTTTACCAATGAAATCACAGTTTCAGTCCCTATCCCTTCAAAGGGCTTGAGTATAAGAAATGTTGCTGTCCCTTATAATTTATTTATTTGTTAATTTGTCCAGGCTGTGTGTGGAAATTTTCCCATTTGCAAATCGCTTGGTTGGTTTTTATGAATGTAAGGAACCACTTAGGTGTGCAAAATCACCTTAAATAACACCACATTTTGAAAGAGTACAATTAGAAATAATAACAGAATTATTACAAGTTGGAGAAAGAAAACAAAGCATTCTGAACTGTAGAAAGCAAGAGACAAACGTTGCTTATATTACTATTGCTTTAATGGCAAGAAAGGCAGTGAGACTATTTTCCACTTGAATAAATTTTATTTATTCAGTTTATCCCAAGGCAAAGGCAGTAGAAATCTGAATGGCCTGACATGACCCTAGAGGATTCTCTTTGGTCAGAGATGTCAGTTATATGCCTGTCCACAATGGGCAAGTCTTTGCTTTTGTTTTTAGTGTGAGTCAAAACTCGTTCATCAGAATAAAATTCCAGTTGAAATAAATGGAATTTTATCACTATGCGAAAAGATAAAAGTTAGAACATAGGACAGGGTAAACAGAAAGATTATTTCAGATTCTGCCATCTGCTTCTCTGACTGTCAGTATCTAATAACTGAATAAAATTGGCAAATTGTTGCTTATTATATAACTAATCTGGTAAAAAGTGGTAAGGAGGCCATTGGAATCTTGTTTAGTTCTCTCCCATGAATTTCCTTTAAGTGCTGATATCACAACAATTAATCTCACTGGTAGTTATTGAGGTAATTATTGCAGAATAGATATTTACTCTTTCTTATTTCCTTTTATCCCATTCTTACCCATCCCCAACTAGGAGGTCTTTTAAAGCAAGAGGGTTAGTTACCTCACCCAACCCAGGGAAGGTATGAATCAGAAATACAGGAAGATTAGTGAGAGAGAGAGAGAGAGAGGCAGTTCAGCTTGGACATATAAGTAAGTAGGGAACAGGGAATGATTCTGTAATGGGGCAGGATGGGAAAACTTCAAGACTTTCTGGCCCTTATGAATCAAATTTTCAGAAGATTAATCAATTTAAAAAAATATACTCTAGGACATCTTATCACTTCTATTTAAATATAGATTCAGAAATGCACTTAAGGGCTACATCAAGAGGGTGAAGGGCTGCCTATGTCTTCTTCCTTTCATTAGAATAGGTAATAGCAGTTGCTTTTTAAAGGTATACGTCATTTGGATGCCTGCATAAATAGGAAGTTTTCTTTTCTCAGGACTGAGTCCAGCGTTTGGAAGGGCACAGCAAACTGTAACTCTGAAAACTGGAACAATGAAGATGGGCAGCATCCAGGAACATCCCGTGATTCAACAGTTGGGGTCCCAGGTATTTCTGAGAAGCAGCTGTGTTTTTATTGGAAGATGCCTTGTTGCCATTGGAGTTACAGATACCCATTCAAAGGCAAAGACTGAGCATTTTATGGTGACATCAAGATATAAAGGCTTGGGGGAAAAGGGGAAAACATGGTAGGGACAGAAGAGGGGAAAATGGCATGATCTCTTTCCCTTCTTACCAATGTTTTTATTTTTTGTGAAAGAAGGTGGCGGATTTTCACTTAAATATTTTTGTGCACTAATTATAACTCTAGACAAAATATCTTATACATAATTGTTATAGTCATTCAGTAAGCAATTATTAAGTGTATGCTATTTATCAAGTACTGCGCTAGACTTTGGGGGTACAAAGACAGATACTAACCGCTTCCTGCCTTCAAAGAGCTTGTATTCTAGTTCAAGGAGAGAAACATAGAACTAACTAGTCATATACAAAGCATAGAGTAGTTGGAAGATAATATCAGAGAGGAAGTGATTTTAGACCTGTAAAGTGTTGCTTAAGGATAAGCAATGCACCTATGTCCATTCCTCTTCTCTCATCCTGTAACGCCAACATTTCTTTTATACTCCAAGTATATATTCATTAATTGTCTTTCTCTATCAGTGTCTTTCTTTCTGGTTCTTGATTAACTTGTTTATTTTGTGCAAATATTTCTTTACCTGGAATGCAATTACTTTGTCTCCAATTTAATTAAATTCAACTCAACAAATATTTCTTTCATCAATGAGGACTTTGTGCAAGGTATGGAGAATTGCAATAACAAATAAATTCATATGAATATTCCCAGGTTTATATGAATCTATTCTTTGTTGTTATTTCTTATGGCATAATACTGTTCCACTGCATTGTTATTGTTGTTCAGTCGCTTTCGGTCAGGTCAGACTATTCTTCACTTCATTTGGGATTTTCTTAGCAAATATACCAGAGTAGTTTGCCATTTCTGTCTCCATCTTATTTTATAGGTGAGGGAATTAAGGCAGACAGAATTAAGTGACTTGCCCAGGGTTATATAGCTAGTAAGTGCCTCAGATCATATTTGAACTCAGAAAGATGAGTCTTCCTGATTCCAGGCCAGAAACTCTATCCACTATGCCACATATGCCTTAATTTATCCAGTCATTCTCCAATTAATGAACGTCACCTACAAGGTTATCTTGGGTTCCAGTTTCCTGTATTCTATATCCATAGGTTTTATTACCGAATCTTTTCTTGGGCATTTTCTTTTATGAACTACTGAGCCTCCTTTCTGTTCTCGTTCTTAAAATGTATAGGCTCTTCTCTATAGTATCTGATTTGGGCATTTTCTTCCTTCCCCTCCATATTGGTCTCGATGCCCCCTTGTCTGGGTCAAATTCATTTAAACAAATATTTATTTAGTGCCTACCATGTAAAATACATAAAATAGACATTTTTGGGTGGCGGCCAATGGCTTGTTTGCATGCACAATAACTAGTGAGACAATTAAGTGGTACAGTGAATGGAGCTCCAGATGAAGAGGAAGACCTGAGTTGAATTCCAGCCTCAGACACTATTAACTATACAAGGATGGGACTTGGGCAGCCCATAGGGTCCAAGATTTCATTTATCAAGCGTAGTTCTTTTAGAATAGAACATGGATCCTAAGGAACTATATTTGACAAATGAAATCTTAGACTCTGACTTGTGTTTCAATTTTTAAAAAATATTTAGGTAAATTTTTTTTTAATAGAAAATAGAACGTAATTTCATTGGATTGGATATGGCTGTCATTTCCTCTTTTTAGGTTTGAAAATTATTTCTGAGGAAGAACTAACTGAAGTATCTGAGATTAGGCCAATTCTACACAGTTTTCATTTGATGGAGACTCTCAGAAGTCTGACTGAAGCCATTGAAAAGCAGATAGCAAGAAATGAAACCTTCATGGAATTTTTGGTAATTGTGCAAATGATACTTAAAGGTGATACACGTATGTGTTCTTTAGATCTGAAAAGGAAGCTAATTTTAAGAATTCTTTCTTGAATTCTTGGCCTCTCAACTGCTATTTCTTCCTAGGGTGAGGGATATACGGTGTAAAAAATATGCCTACCTTATTTTTTTTTTCTGTTTATTACATGCATGCTTTATGGATAAGGAAAGAATATTTTCAGAGAGTTTAATACAACTATTTTTGGCTAGCTTATCAAAATAAAGACTTGTTGGGTCATTGGGATATGCACATCTTGACTGAAACCTGTAATTTTTCAGTCCTTTTATGGGAAGAGTGAGTACTAATGATAGTTAAAGACAGGATTTTTCTTATTCATTGCAAATGTTTTGGCTAAAGGAATTGTGACAGGTAGAGAATATTCAGGGACATGTTGGCAAATGTTTAATAACTGATTATCCAAAAACAATGTAGGAAAGGCACACTTTTTAAGTTTTAATCTGTATTATTAATAATTTCTTCATCACTTCAACCTACACAATTAAGAAAACAATAAATCAAGCCCTGATTTGTAGCATTTTGTGGTTTCCAAGGCATAAATGCTCACACCGAAAATTTCACAGTCAGTTCTCCTGAGCCAGTATAAGCTGGCTCCGTCACACACCAACAAACCTATGGTTCTCATTTTTCATAAGCAAGGGTTTCAGGGATTAGTAATCTTATATTAAAAGTTGATCTTTTGTTGTAGGAAAGAAATCATCAGGCTTGTTTTCTTTATTTTAGTCTTTAGACAACATAAAGCCACTTGATGACTGCATCTTGGGAAATGCTCCACAAAACAAAGAGAAAAACAGATACCGAGATATTGTTCCATGTAAGCAAATACAATTTTTATAATTTTTTTAAAAATTTATTTTTGGAAGTGCCAAAAGAGATGGAATTTATAGTCCTGGAGATGAGAAGTAGAACCTGGAAGTCATGCTCAGCTATTGGTGATACACTTATATATAGAAGAACTGACTGATTATAAGGGTAGTGTTGCATCCTTCAAGGCCAGATGACTGATTTTGTGAAATCGTAGAACTAGAGTTGGTGCAGACTTCAGAGGTCATGTAGTCCGCCTTTTGCAGATAAAAAAAAAAATTGAGCAGATTGGTTAACATGACCTGTCCAAGGTCACACATTTTTAGAGATGGTATTTGAACCCAGGGCTTCTGACTCAATTGCCATTTGTCTTTTCCAGTATACTATTCCTCATATTTCCTCCGACAGCATTAAGTTTTAGTGGGTACTATGTAATGAGCTAGCAGCCCCATTAATGTTCTTCATGGGAAGCATCCCATTTATAGAATTTTTCTGTGTACAAATTGGCCCAGGGGTGATTGCTTCCAACAAAAAGGCTGAGATCATTTGGGTCATGGTAACTGAACCTTCAGCATGTCCAATGTTTTGGTTTAGGTACAATGTATACAAATATATTGAGGGACAAACATGAACTCCTTTAGTCCAGGCTGACTTATTTTTTCATACAAACAGCACTTCCTTCTTCAAGAGGTATCAGTAAGTGCAAGATAAGAAAATTATCCCTGGAGAAGCCATGAAAGCTAAAGAGTAATCAGAAATATTGAAAAGCAGATTGAAATTCTGGTACCTTAAAGAGAGGCAATAGAGGTTTATAGATGATATAATGTCTTTCAAGTCAGGAATTCCCATTTGGGTTCAAGTATTGCTTGTGATGTATATGTAATATGTGACACCTAAATCAGATTATTTAACTTCTCAGTGTCTCAGGTGGTTGCCTATCTATATCAATAGAGTGAGTTCCCATATCAGGAGTTTTCACTTACAAAATCACAGACTTGGACAAAACAAATAACCTTAAAACTGTACATATTGCACCATGTTTCTTTTGGTTTTTAATTAAATTTCATTTTCATTTCCCTCTTTACACACTCAACCCTATCCCTAATTGAGAAAAGGGGAAAAAACTCACTGTTATAATCATGTACATAGTAAAGCATAACAAATTCTAGTTATTGGTCATGTCCCAAAAACCAAAACAAAATAAGTCTTGGTATGTATTGTGATTCCATCACCTTTCTATCAGGTGGCAGGCAACCTATTTTATCTTGAGTTGTCTGAAATCATGGTTGGTCATTTTATCAGTTAGAATTCCAAAGTCTCTGTAAATTGTTTCTCTGTACAATATTGCTATTACTGCACATATTATTCCCTGGTTTTCCTTGATTTATATTCCACATTAGTTCATTTAAATTTTGCCATGATTCTCTGAAACTATCCCCTTCATTATTTCTTGCTGTACAATAAATAGCATTCATAGTATACATATGCCACATCTTGTCTGGCCACTCCCAAATGATGAGCACTCAGTTTCTAACTCTTTACCACCACAAAAAAGAGCTGCTAGAAATATTTTTGTACATGTGGATCCTTTTTCCCTTTATTTGATCTTTTTGGGATATAGGTCTAGTAGCAGTATCACTGGGTCTAAAGGTATGCATAGTTTAATAGTTTGTGGGGCAGAGTACCAAATTTCTTTCCAGAGTAACTAGACTAGTTCATAGCTCCACCAGTTATGCACTAATGTACCCAGTTTCCAATAGTTTTTCCAGAACTGTCCTTTCCTTTTTTGTCAACTTTGTCAATCTGATGGGTATGAGGTGGCATCTCAGAGTTGTTTTAATGTACATTTCTCTATTTATTAGTAATTTAGAGCATTTTTTACATGTTAACTTGGATTTCTTCCTCTAAAGAAAATTTTCATCTGCTTTAACCTTTTTTCAGTTGGAGAATAGATAACTAAAAGTTTCTACTGCATAATTGGGTTAGAAATAACTTTGAGAGCAAAGTGCTGGGCACAGAGAAAATATTTGATAAGTTCTGATTTATTGATCTGGTCCAACTCCCAACTGTAGTCAGAATAATGTTTAAGTTGATAAGGGAACTAATTGCCTGTGCTTTTTAAATTAAAATTTGTTAATTTTTTATCTTTTTATTCATTGACTTGAGAATTTGTTCACTGAATTAATTAGACCAGAATATAGGATAGCTTCATACATGTCTATGAAAAAAATCCTTATGTTTCTGTCATATTAATATACTTAAAATGAATTAGTACTTTTATGTACAACTTTTCATAGGAACATGAAAATTATGTTTGAAAGACAAATATTGATTAGAAATTTGGATTTTGTGTTTTTCTGTGTGGTATAGATGATGGAACACGGGTTCCACTTGGAGAAAAGCAGGATTACATCAATGCAAGTTATATCCGTATATTGAATTCAGGGGAAGAATACTTATACATTGCAACTCAAGGACCCCTGCCAGGAACCATGGAAGACTTTTGGCAAATGGTTTGGGAAAATAAATCCAATGTCATTGCCATGATGACCAAAGAAATGGAGAATGGATTAATCAAATGCCACCGTTACTGGCCCATTTCTCTGAACAAGCCTTTGGAGCTTCAAAACTATATTATTGCATTGGAGAATTACCAGATACTAGAAGCTTTTACAATTCGAGAGATTAAAATGGTTAAAAAGGTGAGTTGTTAAAAAAAAAAAGCCCAACAACACCACCAAAATCACCATAATGCTAGGCATTATATCCTTGTGTGTATTAGTATACATGTCCGCATTTGAAGTTGGGGGTTTGGGAGAGTAACAGAGAATTAAATGTAAATAAGTAACAGAGAATTAAATGAAAATAAATGTGAAAAATAAGAACTTCTATTTCCTAACTGATAATAAAACCCTCCCAAACTCCAAGCCATGGCATCATGGAAACCTAGAGTTTAGAAGTACCTAAGTTATCATCAACTAACAATTATTAAGTATCTAGTTTTTGCAAGATTCTGAGCTAGGTGTTGGAGACAAAAAGATAAGAAATAATAGTCTTTGCTCTCAATGAGCACATCTTCTATTGGAGTAGACAGTCTGTGCATTTATGTTTATACAGAATAAATGTATTTTTATATTTATAAAGTGTAAATATTTAATTTTTAGCTAAGTGGCACAGCAAATAAAATACCAGGCCTGGAGTCAGGAAGACTCTTCTCCCTGAATTCAAATCTGATCTCTGACACTTAGCTGTGTGACTCTGAGCAAGTCATTTAACCCTGATATCCTCAGTTTCCTTATATGTAAAATGAGCTGGAGAAGGACATGGCAAACCCCTCTAGTGTCTTTGCCAAGAAAACTCTAAATGGGGTCATAAGAGTCAGACATGACTAAAACAACTGAACAACAACAAAATGGAATAAATGCAAAAATAATACAAGATAGAGAGGGAGGGCAGCAATGTTTGGTAGCAGGACAGTGCTCGAATTTAGTCTAGAAGGAAGTGGGGAATGTTATAAAGCAGAGTTGCTGAGGTAGTTCATTACAGTCATGGGGAACTGCCAATATGTGCAGGGGATGGATTACCTTGTGTAAGGAAAAGAGAGGTCTATTTGTCTGAACTATAGAGTCCAAAAAGGAAAGTAATGTAAAACTAGACTGCAAAAACAAATTGGGGCCATGTTATGAAGGACTTTAAAAATTAAATGGCAGAGTTTTTCTTGGGGGGGGAAGGGTATATTGAGTAGGACAGTGATGTGTTCAGATATGTGCTTATGGAAAATTACTTTTGATAACTGTGTGGAGGATAGACCAGAGTGGAGAGCGATGAGATAGGGAGACCAATTGGGAAATGGCTTGGAATAGCCCAGGTGAGGGGTGATCCTCATGAATTATGGTCTTAGGTACATGGACAGAGAGAATGGGATGGATGTGAGAGGTATAGCACAGGAGAATGAGTCCCCTCCATGACTACATCCCCAGTAAGCAGACATTCAGCTTCTATCCAGATACTGCCAATGACAGGGAGTTAACTTATCTTTTCAGTCTATTTCTATAACACTTTAAGAGTCAGAAAATTTTTTCCTTAGGTTGAATTGAATGCCAAAAGGAATACACCCAGTGTTTCTCTTCCATATGATAAATTCCTCAGATATTTGATGACTATAACTCTATCCCTCTGTCAGTCTTCTCTAGATGAAGCCTCCTGAATTCCTCTGTTTCTCACTTGACATGGTTTTGAGTTCCTTCACTTTCCTTGCTTCCTTCTTCTTGACCCTTTGCAATTTGTCTGTAACCATCCAAAAATATGGCACCCCAAGCTGCACACAATACTGCTGGTGTAGCATTTGGACTTGACACTTTTGTCAATTCATCCTAAGACCACATTTGTTATTTTGGGCTACCTTGTCAAACTGTCAACCAATATTGATGGAACTTATAGTTCATTCATATTTCTCAGGTCTTTTTTACATGAACTATGTTGTGGTTATATCTACCCCCTTTTGTCTGATTTTATATAAATTTAGGCCTTTACATTTATCCTTATTAAATTTAATGTTATTAGATAGAGCCCACTGAGATCTTTGGGGATCCAAATTCTGCCAATCAGCATATGAACTATCCCTACTATGTTGGCATTACTCACAGAATTGATAGATATGTGCTTTCACCTGAACCATTAATTAAAACATTGAAGAATGCCAGAGACATTATTAGGGACTTAGATTGACATTAACGTAGATGTGGGTCCTCAAAGGTGGCGTATCATAAACATACCATTATATTTCTCATAATACGATTTAATGTATTTATCCATTTGAGATGCAATATGGCAGAAGAGATAGAATGTGAAATTTGTAGTCAAGGCCTGGATTGAAATCATACTTCAGAAACATCCTGTGTTCCCTGGGCAAACAACAACTTCTCTAATATTTTCTTTTTATATCTCATCTGTAGAATGGGGAAGAGGATGAGGATGATGATAACTAGTATACATGTAAGATTTTCAGTTTTTCAAAGTACTGAGTGTGTGTTGTGGTGTGTGACATAGTCAGATTTGCATTTAAGGTAAATCACTTAAATGGATGAATGGAGGATGGTTGAAGTGGGCAGAGACTTGAAGCTAGCAAATCCCCCAGCAGGCTGTTACAATGGTCCAGATGTGAGGTGATGAAAGCTGGTACCAGAGTTTTGGCAGTATCCAAGGAGAGAAGGGGGAGTATTTGAGAAATGTTGCAAAGGTGAAATCAACAGACTTTGGCAAAAGATTGGATATGAAGGATGAGAGACAATGAGGAGTCCAAGTTGATTCCTAAATTGGGAGCCTAATAGAGTGGGAGGATGGTGTTGCCCTTTACAGTACTAGGGAAGGTAGAAGGCAGGGGAGGGCTTAGGGGAGAGATGATGTGTTCTGATTTCGACATAATTGAGTTTAAGATGTCTACTGAACATTCAATTCAAGATGTTTGAAAGGCAGTTGGAGATGTTAGATTGGGGGTCAGCAGTGAGATTGGGGTAGGATAAGTAGAGTTGAGAATCATCAGCATCAGAATTGTAATTAAATACATGGGAACTGATGAATCATCAAGTGAAGTAATACAGAAGGAGAAGGGGAGAAGGCCCAGGAGGAAATCCTGAGGGATGCCGAGGGTGAGAGGGTGTGATCTGGAAGATCTAACAAAGGAAATGTAGGAGGAGCAGTCAGATACATAGGAGGAGAGAGTGTTGTCTCAAAAACCTGGAGAAAAGAGAGTGTCAAGGAAACAGTGTCAAAGCCTGTAGAGAGGTCAAGGAGAATGAAGACTGAGAAAAGGAAGGAAGGAAGGGATGAAGGCAGGAAGGAAGGAAACAAAAACTTAGTAAGTGCCTGCTGCTACTAAGAGTGAAAATGCACTCCTTTAGGAAAGGTCTTTGCTGAGAATATTTTTAGTGTTTCATTTTCTATTTCAATTAAATACTTTTGCTCAGTCTATATTGTGGTTTTTAAATTTTATTATTATTTTTTAGTATAATTGACATTTTAGACCCAAATTAACTTTAGAAGTTTCCAGTGTCACAGAGGATTAGGAGCTCAAGGCAAAATGAAAGTATATTTATTTCCCAGATACTCCACATTGAATGTGGTAAATGGTGAAAAACTTTGAGTTCATGACTCATGAGGATTAGTTGAATAAACTGGGCACGTTTATCCCAGAGAAAAGCACATTCACTGGGGACAAAGTAGCTGTGTTCAAGTATCTGAAGGACTATCATATATTTTTTGCACTTTTTATTTTATTTTATTTTTTTGTCCCTCCCTTCCTCCCCTCCTCCCCCAAACCCTAGGATTATCATATTGAGGAGGGATTAGGCATACCTTCTTTGGCCTCAAAGGGAAAAACCAAAAACGTTCAGCGGAAGCTATAAAGAGGCAAATTGAGATCTGATATCAGGAAACATTTCTGAACAACTAGACGTGTCCAGGAGTAGAACTGGAAGCCTTGAGAGGCCATGGTTTCCCTGTCTTAAAAATATTCAAGGGGCAGCTAGGTGGTGCAGTGGATAGAGCACCAGCCCTGGATTCAGGAGGACCTGAGTTCAAATCCAGCCTCAGACACACAACACTTACTGACTGTGGGCAAGTCACTTAACCCCATTGCCTAGCCAAAAAAAAAATATTCAAGCAGAGGGCTGGGTGACCACTTGTTGGTTATATTGTAGTGGGGATGCCTTCATCAATGGTTTGGATGATGTGGTCACTGAGGTCTATGCCAACTCTCAAATTCTGTTATTCTTTAGGAGTTCCAAAGTAGACTTTCCCTTCTGTTGATTATCTCCAATTTAACTTTTTACATCTTCTTTGTACATAGTTTGCATGTTGCCTCTTCCATGACTGAACTTGAGAACAGGGACTGTCTTCTGCCTTTCTGTCCCCAGCACAGTGCCTAGCATGTTGGGTGTTTAATGAATGTTTATTAACTGACTAACAGTACCTGTCCCACCTTCTTCACCAAGTGGTGCTCACGATAAACTAATCTATGCAAAGGTATAAAATGCTATAAATATCAGATAACATCCCCACGTGGTAATGACTTGAGGTCTCTAACCTAAGATATGGTGATGGTGCTTCTCTCGCAGACAGGCTCAGTTCACTTTGTGCATCAGATACAATTCATTAATTGGCCGGACCATGGCATTCCCACATCATTTGATGGTTTTGTGAAGTATGTCCGCTACATGAAGAAGATCCATGAGACGGGACCCATCATTGCACACTGCAGCGCAGGCATTGGGAGGACTGGGGTCATCTTGTGTGTGGATGTTGTGCTTCGTGCCCTAGAAAAAGACTTTGAGGTAAGTTGCCTGTCACCCTCACCCCAAAGAATCATATGATGAAGCCAGCACAGTGAAAGAGGGCTTGCATGTTTGGGAATCAAAGGTCCTTGATCAGAATCCAAGCTCTGACACTTATTATCTGTGTGACCACATTGCAAGCGGCTTAACTTCTCTGAAGCCTCCTCACATAATCGAGGAGATTTAACTAGATAATCTTAGAGGCACTCCCAACTCTAAACCTATGATGCCATCTTGGAAGAGTAGTATTTGCCATTTGGAGCTTTTCAGGATGCTACCTAAAATACTGTCGGTGATATGTATTTTACATCCTGGGCAGTCTACTTAAATTATAGCAAAGTATAAATCAACGTATCTTTAACTAGGGTGTTCATCTGGGGTTTTGTTCCAGGATGCCAAATTTGGAGGGTACTAACAGTAATTGCAGTCCTTCCGCAGCGTAGGAATATCAGAGCTTAATACATAGCAAGAAGAGCTAGTTAAACAGGGAGTTAGCAGACAGATGGAATCACTGCCTTCATTCTGCTCTTTCCTCCTTCTCACTCTTTGCTTAATGGCCTCCTCAGAGTACTCATATGCTGATGTCCCCTTCCCCTCCTCAGAGGACATGTCTTGTGCTACTTGCTCTGGGTGCAAAGATTTGTAGTTATTTGTAGCCACCCTAGAGAATGCCAAACTCCAGACTGTCCCCAGCTATCCTAACTCCTTTCCTGTCTTCATTGCTCTTTATCTTCTGTCATGGTTTGGTTCACCTATCCTTAGAGATATTGTCTGTCGGTGCTAGGCCTCAGGAATCTTTGATTTCTGAACCCAAGGCCTTTGGGCAGAACTGGGAAGTGGCCCAGGAATCCTGTACCCTGGCTGTATAAGTCTTACAGACCATAGGGAGAAAAGGCAAGAGAGAGGGATGGACCTCAGGTTTCAGTGTACTTTTCAGTGCTTTGGGATTCTGAACAATGTTCAAAGCTTGCAAAGGGTTTCAGTTAAGGGTAGCTAGGTGGTGCACTGGTAATAGCATTGGGTTTGGAGTCAGGAAGACTTGAGTTCAAATCTTGCCTCAGATATTTACTAATTGTGGGACCCTGGGCAAGTCTCTTAACCTTTGTTTGCCTTAGTTTCTGCGTCTGTAAAATGGGCATAATAGAACACTAATATCCTTGAGTTGCTAAAAAGATCAAATGAGATACTATTTATAAAGTACTTAGCACAGTGCCTGGCAAAAAAATAGGTGATATAAAATGCAATAACGTTAATAATGATGCTGCTGCTGCTGATGGTGATGATGATTACCCGAGTTCATTCATTTAGCAAGCATTTATTAAATGCACACTGTATCAGGAGATGGTTATTTAAAGACAAAAAGGAAATATTCCCTGACCTCAAAGAGAGAAGATTTTTTTGAGGAAACTTGTAACTGGAAAATTAAACATAAAATATGTGAAGTAATTTCCAGGAGGAAGGCACTAGTAGTTGGGGGGAGGCAGTGGGAAAATAGTCATGTAAAGGATGCTTGACCTGCATCTTTAAGGAAGAGGAAGATTTGCTGAGGCGGAGTTGAGGAAGAGATACATTCCAGGAATAGGAAATATCATATGTAAAGGCTTGAAGATGAGAAATGGAATGTCGTGTGTGTGTGTGTGTGTGTGTGTGTGTATGATTAGATGGTCTAGTTGGATTGGAACATAAAATGCATAAAAAAGCTTAGAAAGGTATGCTGGAGCCAGCCTGAGAATGGCTTTAGAAGCCAAACAGAGAAATTTATATTTGATCCTAGAGAAAGTGAGAGCAAATGGAGCTTCTAGAACAGGGTAGTGACAGACCTATGCTTTAGGAACATCACTACAGCAGCCATGCAAAGGATGGATTGAAGAGAGGCGACTTGGGTTACCAATCAGAAGGCTGAAGGCTATCCCATGAGAGGTGATGAGGATCTGAACAAGAGCAGTGACTGGGTGAAGAGAAGGATGGATGGACTGACAAATGAATGGGTGGATGGATGGATGGATGGATGGATGGATTGGAGATATACTGTGAGGTAGGACTTGACCATTGAATGTGAATAGAGAGGAAGAAAGAAGAGTTGAAGATGGCTTCAAGGTGGCAAATATGAGTGACTTGGAATGGTATGATGTCTTGGACGGTACTGAGAAAGTTAAGAAGAAGGGACAGTGTGGTGGGAAAACTGGAGTCAGAGGTAGAAGGGGGTGAAATTACACCCAGGATTATACTGGTAAATGTTTAACAACCAGCTTTCTGAAAAAGACACCTAACAATTTCAAAGTTAAATCTTCATTTTCTCAATCACTTTAGGTCTAGACAATTAATAAAACAATAACTCAAGTCCTGATTTATAATATTTTTCAATTTCCAAGGCACAAATGGTCATGCTGAAAATTGAACAATCAGCTTTTGAAAGCTGGTATGAGGTGACTCTAACATGCACATGACTGTACCCCACATGTTGGGCTTGATAAGTTTACCCTAATCCTAGTATGTAACCCAGGGGTATTATTAAAATAGAAGCTATAGCTTCCCAATGTAAGGACTTCGGATCTCAGAGATCAGAGACCAAGGATTGACTGCTGGATTAAATTAAAAACAAACAAACAAACAGAAATCGCAATAAAGCAAGTGCCTGGGCAGCCCATACCAAACACAATACTTAGTGCTTCATTGGGTTTAATCAAGCTTTGTCTGATAGAGGTAATATAACCCTGTATAGACCTTGTATATTCCAGATTTTACGCTTGCCATTTATGGGTGACTTTAAAAAAACAAACAACAACTCATCCAGATTCCCTATTTCTGGCTTTGCAGGAGGAAATAGTGTGCCCTTGGGATTGGCAGTGGGAAAAAAATCCTTCATCTCCCACTTCTGCACGAAGCACTTAAAACTACAAATTTACTTACCATCTAAACCCAAGTAGGCAAGATAGAGCTGTTTGTCTCCCATCTTGATGAGGCAGTGAGAAATAGAACGACTGCTTCAGAGAAATGTTTCTGTTTGCTTCTTTTGAGTTCTTCACTCCTTTTCGATTTTGTGGGAAAGAACAAGTTGGTTATGCTAGTATAATGTGTTAATGAATACTTTGATGTGCTGTGAAAGAAAGCATTCATCCACACAGACCACCTGCTGCCTCAGTTGCTATGACACAGTCTTTCTATTTGTGTCTGCAAATCATAGGATCCCAGAGTTGGAAAGGGTCTTAGTCCTCTAGTCTGTTCCCAACCTAATGCAGGAATGGCCTCCTGATGCCCTGAGAAAGGTGGCCAACTGGTCTGCGCTAGTCTACCCTTGGCGATCGAGGGCTTCCTAGCGCCATGAAGCAGCCCATTCCATTTTCAAACATTTGTAATGATTAGGAAATTCTTCCTCAATCCGAAACAAAATTAGACTTCCTGTACCATCTTAACACTGATCTTAGGTCTCCCCACTGCAGCTACAGAAAATAAGTAACATATTTACCATAGGATGCCCACTCACATAGCATTGTAATTACAGAACCAAAATGCCTTAATTTATAAATGAGAAAACTGAAAACCAAGAAAGGTTAAGTGACTTGCCCTAGGTCACATAGACAGGAAACACCAGAATTAGGATTCAAATGTTCTATGTTCCTCCTACTGTATCATATTGCCTTTGTCTTTGAAGGCAGATATCATGCCCTCGCTTCCTCCCCGCCCCCACACCTTGGTGTTAAACATCATCTGTTTTGAATGATGTAATTTTAAGACCCAAGGGCATTTCCAGCCTATATGTCCATATTCACCTTCCAAAAGTTCCCTTCATGTATTCTATGCTTCATGCAGCTGAACTGGACTTTTCAGTAATCTCTCAACAAACTTAGCACTTTCCCACCTCCACACCTTTGTTCACACTGTTCCCTGTGTTTGCTATGTCCTCCACCAGTCTCTGAGACCTTCTGATCTTCTGTCCATCCTTTGAGATCCAAATTGAATGCTACCTCTTCAAAGCGTCCCTCCTCTCTCCAGCTGGAAGTGATTTCACCATCATTGGATTTATTTTATTTGTATACATTTATCCTACTCTAATTGGTGTTCTACTAATCTCTCTTAATTTCTTCCTACAAGATTGTGAGCTCACTGAGGGCAGGGTCCTTGATTTAATTGTTTTTGTATCTCTCCTAGTTTCTATCACACTGTGTTGCCCATAGTAAGAAACTGATAGATGTTTGATGAATGCATAAATTGTTAATGCTTTGAAATTTCATAACCTCTTCATTCCTTCCTGCCTAGTGGTATGATATTTTGTGTTGATATCTTCCAATAGATTCTCCACAGACTATTCAATATCCTGGAGGCATATTCCTCTAGTTCTTTTAATATTTCATAGATAACAGGGTGATAATGAGGCCCATCCCAGTTAGTTTTCTAATCTTATGGCCTCAGTTTATTTGTTCATGAGATACAACTTGTTCTGCTTAAGTAAGGAGTATTGGGAGGTTCAAATGAAAATGTACATTAAAAAGCAAACTGTTCCACCAATAAAAGATTGCATTATTAACCTTGTTATTAATCTTTGTTCTTATTACTGAGATCTTCAAATCTTATGCTCTGCTTGCCTTCCAAACAGTAGAGATCAACCATCACCAATCCAACCTTACTTCCCACTCTTCTTGAACACATTTTTGCAGCCGTTCTATTAATTATTCTACCCCCATCCCTTTTCTGTATCACATCTTTGCTTATGCTCTTCATCCTTTCTGGAATATGATTAATTTTCCTATTTATCTATTCCTAGTTAGTTGTGTTCTGATAAATGTTTAAAATTGGCTTTCTGAAAAAAAATGTTCCAAACATATTTTTGACTTCAATCTGCATTAGTGATGTTCTCCATCAGTTCCTTAAGTTTAGACAATTAAGAAATCAAACCCTGATTTGTAGCATTTGCTGATTTCTGAGGTATAAATGCTCACACTGAAAATTTATCAATGTGAGCTGGTCAGAGATGTCTCCATCATTGCCCTGAACTTCTGGCCCTCCTTTAAGTCCAGCGCCCATCCTTCCACATCTGTGAATTCTCATTGTTGTTGTTCATCCTTCCTGAAGAGGACCAATGACATCACGACGGTGATTTCTTGACTTGCATGTGAACTGGATTTAAGTGAGGCAGGCTCTGGTGAACACTAATCTCTTCTTTTTCTGATTGTATAACACAGCATGATGGAAAGAACATAGGGTTTAGCATCAGACCTGGGTGCAAATCCCTATTTTTCAACTTACTACATATTTGACCTTAAGAAAGTTACTTGGGCAGTTAGGTGGTACAGTGGATAGAGCTCTGGCTTTGGAGTCAGGAGGATCTGAGTTCAAATCCTGCCTCAGACACTGGACACTTAGTAGCTGTGTGACCCTGGGCAAGTCACTTAACCCCATTGCCTCACTGGAAAAAAAAGTTCCTCAATCTCATTGGTCCTCAATTTCCTCATCTATAAAATAAGGGTGGGTGGGAGAAATAAGAGTGTTAGATGGTCTTTTAGGGTTCTACCACCTTTAAATCTATGATTCTGTGGGGCAGCCTGGTGTAGTTAGAAGACCTGAATTTTAATTCTGAGTCTTGCACTTACTACCTGTGTGACCTTAGACAAGGCAATTAACCTCTCTGGTCCTCACTTTCCTCCTACTTAAATGAAGGAGTTGGAGTAGATAATATCTGATGTTCTAGTTCTAAATCTGTGATTTGATGATGGATTAACCTAACAGGCTATACATGTAAATAATCTGGACAACATTCATTTTTATCCACTTGGGATTTTTCAGGTAGATTACTTGGCCTGTTTCTTTTGAGTGACTATGGATCTCACTGGGAAGATCCAACAGTCTTCTAGGACTGATTCAAAGAGCACAATGTCATCCAAAACACATGAGCTTCTACAAAACTTACCTCCATGGAATTCCTTTTTCATTTCAACTTCGCACAGGCCGGTCTCCACGGCACTGGAGAGTACCTTTGATGAGCATGTACTTGCTTTATGACCCATTTATGACAGCTGCTAAGAGGGTCATTAGACAAAATTATCTCCATGCTTGCATCTATCAGGTAACCCTGTAGGATGTTAAGACAGGCATGGGGGAAACTCTGTTGGAGGAAAGTAGTTATGACTACTATTTTATCTACAGAGGCAAATGCCTTTTGTTTTTGAGAGATGGGAGGGGATAATAAACAGTAAACACAATCATGTCTTATATTCTTTATACTTCTCAATCAATTCGGTGACTGTGAAGATGTGTTCTGCTGTAGAGAGTCACCCATGAAAGCCTGACTGTTTCCTTCTCACATTTTTATCAAGTATGTTCTATTCTCATGGAGGTTTTTATAGAGATGATAAAGTAAACATAAAAGTCCATTACTGTCAAAATCTCTGTCCCTCTACCCTCTCTTGTAATAACATCATCTGTGATTTTTTTCCCCTTATATTTTGCAGTCTTCTCTTTTGGATCTTGAAAATGGATTCTCCTAATGCTTTTAACATTGTCTTGCCTCTTAAAATATTTTTATTTGTGTATTTGGTTCAATCTAGGTACTCATCCTGTTTCATGTTCTCAAGTGTCACTTTCACTTTCTCATAGAGTATGTTGTGTGCAGTCCAAACTTGGTGGATTCATTATCATCAAGGATGAAAACATATCACTAAAAAATGCAGGCTAATCTATACATTTCACACCTATTTGTTGTCCTTTCTATTCTCTTGATACATTGGGATGAATAATAATAGTAGTTATGTTGGACTTATAAGCAAACACTCTTTCCATTTGCACCGAGTGAGTTGATTCATATGCCTGAGTTTTCTGTAGATTTTTTTTCTTCATCGTTTTTCTCTATTTTGTGAAATGATACTGCTCATAATTTTCAATTCTTTTAAAGTGTTTGGATTCTTATCTAAATAAATGACAAATAAGACAGCCAGGTGGTGAAGTGGATAGAGCTCTGAGGCTGGAGTCAGGAAGAACTGAATTCAAATCCAGCCTCACATACTTACTAGTGGGCAGGTCATTTAAACTCTGCTTGCCTCAGTTTCCTCAACTATAAAGTGGGGCTAGTAATAGCGCCTATCTCACCAGTTGTTGTGAAGACCAAATGAAATAATATTGATAAAGTATTTAAAACAGTGTCTGTTACATAGTAGGTGCCGTATAAATGCTGATTCCCTCTCCTGCTGCCCTATTCCCTTGGCTGCCATGTAAGAAAAGTAGCTCATTAGCTGGCATCTTGTTTCCGAACTCTTTCATCATGCTTGTTGTAGTGGATGTTTTTATATTGGCTTAACCTCACTGAAGAATGGCGCTAATCAGCACTTCCACTTTTATCCGTTTTCCAGAAGTGACAATGTGCTTAAATAAATTGGTTTGAACCCATTATAATCGTGTCCAGTGTTATTTTCTCATCTGAATCCTTTCTTCTAATTTGGTATTCCTTTTGTCCCTTATTTTAACCTGTTTATCTTACTGTACACAGAGAGGTGATTCTGAAATGACTCCTATTGGTAACCAGTCATTTCTTTTCTCAATAAGCATTTCATTTGATAAATTCTTTAAATGCTTTGAGAGTACAAAGACGAAAATAACTGCCCCAGCCTTTAAGAAGCTCACCTTGTGCAAGACTTGGAGAGATGAATGCCTCCCAGTCTTCCATAATAAGAACTCAGGGCTCAGGCAGACTTGGGACTGCAATCAGTTTTGTTGCTTGCTTTTGTTTTTGTCCAGACCTGTGAGTTCGTTGATGTAGGGAACTCTCAGGTGAGGAAACTTCCTATTGAAGCAGATGAGACTCTGCTCTGCTGCTGAGAATTGCCTGGGGGGGGGTATTGAGAGGTTAAGTGACCTGCCCACTCTCACATGGACACTATGTGTCAAAGGTGAGACTCTAGGCAAAGTTCCCTTAACTCGAATAACAGATCTCTATCCACTATATCATGCTGCCTTTCAACTACGTTATTGGAGTTAGAGGATTTTGTGGGCTAATCCCCTAATTTAACTCTTGTTTGAGAGGTCACTTCCATGGAAGTATCTGCATTGAGTTTCAAACTGGAGAGTATATATACATGTGTATATATATACACACACACACACACACACACACACACATATATATATATATATATATGTACACACATACACACACATATGTGTATGTGTATTTTGCTTTTTTTATCTACCCAATGCAAGATTGATAGGTGCTACTTGATTAACTGACTCCACATTTGGAGGTTAAGATATGAATGTTCTATCTTCAATCAGTTTTGTTTTAATTTTTTTTTGAAGAGAGTTATTCATGTTTTGGGCTCTCCCAAAATTATCTGTTATGATTCTTGCCTTTAAAAGAATAGAAAATTGTTTAGCAAAAATTCTGATTTTCTTGAGTGCACATTCTTTGAGTTACCGAAATCTACACTCTTTCTTTGGAAATGTATTTGTTAGTCCTGGGAGTGGTATATTTTGTTACCTCTGAAAATGAGAACTATTTTTTTTTATTAGGCTATGTGGTCTTGGTCCAGAAGGGGTAACCTTAGTATATTTCTCTTTACCCAGAGCTAGGATAATAATAAGTCCAGAGTTGTTCTTTCATCTTTGTTAATGCTCAATTTCCTTCTAACAGTTCAATATCAAGAATATCGTGACCCAAATGAGAGAGCAACGTTATGGTATGATTCAGACCAAGGTAAGCTCTCACTACGGAGATGAGAACTGAAGCCATTTTGGTGAATGTCAGGGAAGTAATCTCTAGGGTTGGCAGAATATTTTGCAATGATTAAAATATCGATGCCACTGACAAGTTACAAAGAGAATGTTAGCCCGGCTTTAGTCAGAGCAGGGCAGTACTTACTTATGGCACATGAAGACAGAAAGCATGGGTGATTAGAAACCAAGGTAGTCTTTATTTTAGCTCATTTTCCTGCAAATTTCCTATGTAGACTTTCTTAGTTTTTCAGGTGTTGCCTCAAGTCACTAAAAATTTTTCTTCAATATATCAAAATTCAGTTCAACAAACATTTATGAAGCACTTAGTATGTGCACTAAGTACTATGAAGTACTTACTGTGTACAAAGACAAAAATGAAATAGTCCCTGCCCTCAAGGAGCTTATATTCTACTGAGGGGGCACAACATGTACACCAGCACATAAATATAAAGTTCTGCAAATGATGTATATCTGTCCCCTTGTGCAGATCCCATCTACACTGGTAGAATAGACAGTTTAATGAATGGCTGTGGCCAAAATACTCTCAAAAGTAGCCAACCTTCCAATAACGTTCCTTCTTGAAGCTAATTGTCTAAATTAGTCCTTGGATTACAGGCTATTGCTGGCTTCTTCAGCTTTCAGTAGCCTTCTTGCTTTGTGCTTTCAAAGCATTGCCTTTGTAGAGCTCTATAACACTAAGAGACACTGAAGTACAACTTGAGTGGAGAAAAATCATATATGTATAAAGAAAAGGAGGAGAAGCAATTATCTAGTTCACTCCTTCTTCCTCAAACCACTTTTATTTGAAACAACTAAATAATTTAAGAAAAGAGAGGCTGGTTTTCCTTAGAAAAGGGAGAGGACTGCTTTCATATTTAATGTCAGCTCACTATTTCAGGTTCCCAATGGAGATATATTCTTAGAAGTATAAGCTTGGGAAAAGCTGTGAGCAATCACATAGTCCCTCTCTCTTGTAGTCTATGCTGAAATTAATTCATCAATCAACAACCATTTATTAAGCTTCTTTTATATGCCAAGGAAATCTTTTGGGTCTAAAATTAACTTGTGATCTGAAGATCAAATTACCCTCAATCGATGATTTAAATGTACTTCACACTCACTTATTAATTAATCATCACAATGTTTTTCTCTGAGATAAACAATTTATAGAGAATTCCTTGGATGAATATGTCTATCTACCAACTTTATGGTATCATTGATGGAACTAAAAAACTTTCAAATGTTCCCTGCCAACTGGTTGATATACGTATTTACTATAGATGCGAATTGATTGTTTTTCTCTCTTATTTTCATGTATATATAGGTGCAGTATCACTTTTGTTATGAAATCGTGCTTTATGTTCTACGGAAAATTCTAACCTCTACACTCAGTTCCACCAAATAAGAACAGTTCTTACATTGCGTCTGCAAGTGACCGAGTGGCTTGGTGTCTGTCTCTTCCTCTGTGGACATTTATTAGCTTATGGACACAATAACATATTTTTTTCTTAGTGTATTCAAGTACCTTAATGTCTGAAGAGTCTCTGAAGGTAGTAAAATACAGGTTGGGGATGAAATAATGCTTAAAAAGAAACATATTGCCTCATAGTGGTTGTTTTCAATACTATCACAATGCTACCCCTATTTCAATGGGACAATCATTACAGAAAGTAACTGTGTATTTGCTATGTAGCTGAGAAGATGACAGGGAAGAATAACAGATCTTGAAAATTTTGGTAGGATTTTATTCAGGAAGAGCATCTGAAAGTTAACCCTAAAGGGTTCTAGAACGCTATTAAATACTTTTTTGTGGGAGAATTTAAGGCCAAAAAACTTCAGGATAACAGCAATTATCCTTTGCAGGTTCTTCAAACAGAATCTTACTTCTGTTCTTTGGCTAAAGAGTTGGTATTTCCAGCTGGTTCTTTAAATAACCCAGACTACAAAAGACCCAATTAGGGTGCAGTTATTGTGTCTAAGCAATGAGGACTCCTTTTGTAGCTTTCTTCTGTACCCCTCTGGGAGTTTGCTGAGATTTCATGGGGAAGATGGTATCTTTGAGCAGTTGCATGTATGTGCAGAACAAGAGGACATAAGGAAAATGCAGAAGGTGGTCAGGATTCTGCTCTCCCACATGAGCACACGGAAGTGAACAGTCCAAAATGGAAATGGATGTTTCTGCATTAGAGCCAAGACATAACTATGGCCCAGCTTGAGTTCTTTCTAGTTCCACCCTAACACTTGGAGTATGACTCAGCCTGTTGTGTTGGTATCAAACAGAACATTTTGGGCTTGTTATTCTTTTAGCTGACCAATAACTTTTGATCAAAAACTATCATTCCATAATTCTGAATTATCCACAAGATCCCTTAAGCTATAGATTTTCTTTTTCTGTCTGGGATCTGTGATCATTCATTTCTTTATCTGTTTTTCCTCTCCCCTAAAAAACACTTAGAAGGTTCAATTGGTTTTCTGATTTTGGGGGGAAAATCTGATTTGGTTTTCGGAAAAGAAAGACTCGTGTATTTGCTTTTGAAGGAGGTAAGTACTATTCCATTCAGCTTAGATAGGAACTTGTGAATCGATGAACAATAACAGTGATATGATGTGAGGGAGTTTCAGTTCTGCACTGTACATTATCACCAGTTAAAAGGAATTGATAAAATTCTGTACATTCAAGTGGTATTGATTAGTGATCAGGGTGACTTACGCAACACACAGAGGGAAATGCCTGAAAGTCACAGTTGTAGCTTGTGGATTCCTAAAAGGCTTAATTGCTTTCCTTAACTAAATGTGCACTTGAGTTTGCTGAGAGAAATTGACGGGTTTTAGATAATTATTTTTCCCCCCTGCTGGGTAATATACCATGTACGTACGTACGTGCTTTACAATTTTATTTTAAATCAAATTGATAATTTTATTTATCTTGTCCTGTTAAGCAGTAGTCAGTAAAAGTGTTTGACTTAGATATTTATTCACTATATTTGATAGCCCTCTCTATTTTTTTTGTAAAATAATTGTGCTATATATACTGTACTACACACTTTTGTATAGGATTGTTCAAATGGAAATGTTTACTATGTATTGCATAAAAGTGTTTTTATTTAGCCTGGCCCAAGATTTTTCTTGTGAAGCCAACTTCTATGATCGATGCTGGTATTCTTTTTGGCATATTCATTCCTTAGCTTCTGCATACTATTTTTACAGCTGGACCAATTTTCAATTTTCCAGGGAAATTAAAGTAGCAAATTTGGAAATATTGACCGCATTCATTTTCATTTTGGTCTTAGGGAGGGAATTCTAAATGCAAAAAGGCTTTACTAATTGAAATAGTCTTTCAACAAATTGTGACTCAAATTCTGCCGTAAGTTAAGAATACGGACCTACCATTGACACTTGTGGGAGTATCTCGTGGCTACTTTGGATACACTGGTTTTTTTTAAGACCTTAACATGTGTATACATTAGTTAATGTTCAACTTTAATTAAACATTTTTAAACAATCGTTGTGCACAATATTTATATGCTAGATAAAAAAATTACCTTCTCTAGAAGTGACCTCTGCAGATTTTTATCCAGATAGATTTTAGAAACATGGTTTTCTATGAGCTCTCTCTCTTTTTTTTTTTCTTGAATCTGCCCATGACATAATGGAGTTATTAATTCAGTTCACATTTTCTGTCCATGGATCATTTAGCTGAATTGTTTTTTTATGGAAAACCTCAAAGGAAAACACCTTGAAATCAGTGATGTAATAGCAAATTGAAAACTCCCTGAAGTAATGAGGTCTCAGTGTACATTCCTTCTTAATTGTTTTTCATCTCTAGGTGGAATATGTTTTCCGGTTTGTGAATCTCGTTAGGGTGTTGGCCCAGAGGTCTCAAAGGGTACTCATGAAGTCAGAAAGACTGCAGGGGTGCCAGGCGGACGAGAGAAATTTATTCAGGGGGTCAAAACAGTCTATTGATGCTGCACTAAAGGGCAGGGGTTGCAATACTTGCTAAGGTAAATTTAGCCTTCATCTTTTGGATGCTTAACTGAGTGGTTGAAATGAGCTCAGATTGCAATATACCATTATTATATGACTCTGGAGTTTAACAGAAATACCACCCTTGATGAAAAACTCATTTTTTTTGCACTAAAAAATGAAATCAGTGGAACAGATTAGTTACACAACATCCAGAAGAAAATGAGCCTAGGAGCCCAGCATTCAATATCCCAGCTACCAGTATAAGGACTCACTATTTGACAAAAACTGCTGGGAAAATTGGACAACAGTCTGGAAGAAGTTTAGACCAACATCTTACACCTTATGTCAAGAAAAGCTCCAAATGAGCATAAAAGGTGAAATCATAAGCAAATTAGAGAAGCAAGGAAAAAATATCTAGCAGAAATATTGATAGAGGAAAGATTAATGATCAAACAAAGGATAGAGAGGATCACAGAAAATAAAATGGATAATTTTGAATACATGCAATTAAAAATGTTTTGCACAAAAAATCCAATAAAGCTAACTTTAAAGGTAAGTTACAGAAAAAATTCTTTGCAGCAAGCTTCTTTGATAAAGGGCTCATTTCCAAGATGTATATAGAACAGATTCAGATTTAAATGAATGATAGCCATTCCCCAATTGCAAAATGGTCTGAGGATATAAACAAATAGGTTTGAATGGACAAAATCCAGGCTACTAATAGCCATATGAAAAAATGCTTAAAATAAAAAAAAAACAAAAACAGAGAAATGCAAATTAAAGCAATGCTGAGATTTCACCTCAGATCCATCAGTTTGGCAATGACAACAACAAAAAAGGAAACTTTGGAGAGTCTGTGGGAAAACAGGAATATTAACTCACTGTTGTTGGAACTGTGAATTGGGCAAACCATTCTGGAAAGCAATTTGGAATTATACACAAAAATAACTAAACTCAGTTATAACACTACTAGACCTATACCCCAAAGAGATCAGAGGAAGAGGAAAAAGTCTTACATGTACAAAAATATTTAAAGCACCTCTTTTTGTGTGGTAAAAAGCTGGAGACTAGAAGGATGATGATCAATTGGAATGCATGAACGAATTATGGCATTTAAGGTAATGAAATACTAGTGTTCTATAAAAATGTGGGAGAAAGATGATTTTAAAAAGTTATGGAAAGACTTAAATGAACTGATGCAGAGTGAAGTGAGTAGGATGATAAAAATTTGTGCTATAATCTCTATTATAAAAATGAATATTTTTAGGACTTGCATAAACTGAAAAACAGTGAAATAAGCAAAACCAAAAGAACACATACACTAATAGTACAGCAGCTGATGAGATGAAAAAGTTTGGGGCTATTGAGCCTCTCTAATCATCTGAAAAATTCAGTTGCCAACTTGGGACACCTTCCCCAAGCTGGCCCAGGGGAAGATCCACACAGAAAATCCTGGGTTTGGTCCTAACCCTTGGCGATTACTCATTGTGTGAACCTGGACAAGTTAACATTTTCTTCAGCATTTTGAAACCATTTTAGGGATAGAAATGTTAAAATGAGTAAAATAAGATTAGGGAACCAGGTGGCCTAGTGGATTGACTTTTGTACTTGGGAGTCAGGAAGATCTGAGTTTGAATCTTGCTTCAAGTTAGGAACTCAATCTTACTCAGCTGCAGTTTCCTCATTGGAAAAAAAACGAGGATGGTAACAGTACTGACTTCATGGTCTTGTCATGAGGATTGAATGAAAAAACATATTAAGCACTTTGCAAGCTTTAACTTACTCTATAACTATCATCTGTTTCTCCTAATCAAAGCTCAATCTTGAAACACATAATCTGATGCCTCTGTGGTTCCTCTTGTACTTACTGAGGTCATCCGAGTGGTACATCCACGAGAAAAACCACATAAACTCTCCCTATATGGTCATTTACTTCTCTAATATCTTTGTTTCACTCTACCACGAAGGTTTTTATTCCATCCAGTCACTCACTTAATTTTCCTGGACCTCAGTCTGCTCATCTGTAAAACAGAGGGGTTGGAGATACCTTCAAGTGCTAATCCAGTAATTTTTTTTCTTTTAAGCTAGCTCGGTGAACTTGGGCAAGCCAATTAAATTTTCAGTGCTCCTGACAACTGTCTGAGTAAGACTCTATTGCAGATGAGTTACTGATCTGCCCTGGAGAAGAGAATTTCTACCCCCCTGAGCATCCTACCACCACCACCACCACCACCACCACTACCCCACAAATTTGACAATGTAAATTTCCAGGCAATTTATATATTTAGTAATTGGAATCCTGACAAACTGGTATTTTAAAATAATTTTTAAAGACATTCTTTTTCATGACCACAAACTTTAAAGGGCTTTTTGTAAAAATTCATTTTCTACATTTCATTACAGTGATCTAGGACAAACTAAAAGTGGCTAGAAATGTGACATCATGGGATTTATTAAAATAAACATGTTATCTCTTGAAATATGACCAGCAGATAGGTTTTCTTGTTTTTACACATAGATTTTTATAAAATCAGGAACATAGGTTACTTGTAGAACTCTCTATTTGACTAGAACTTCTGAAAAATCTGGAAAATGCTTGGTAGACATCAGATTTAGGCCAACTTTTGTCATATACCACAATCTGGTCAAACTTAATATGACATCCGAATATTAAAGGTTTAGAAGAGAAGATTGGGCAGCTTTCAGAGCTATGGTTATAAAAGAGTTCAATAACAAAAACACAGGCATAATTTCCGTATAAGTCTGAATGGACAGCAAGCCCTCAAACAGTGGAATGACCAAGAGGTATAGTCAACATGAACTTTATATGTCACACCAAAGCCAAACGTTATCAGTGGGCTGTGGCTCAGAGTAGTTTAGATGTCAGGTAAGCTAACATTTACAAAGAGCCTACTAAGTGCCAGGCACTGTGCAAAATAATGGAATACAAAGAAAGGCAAAAACAAAACAAAATGAACCACAAATCGTCTCTGATCTCAAGGAGCTCACAGTTGAATAGGGGAAGCAACATATGAACAAATATGTACAAACAAGATTTACATAGGATAGAGAGGAGCCAATCTTAGGAGGCCCCAGTATTAAGACAGATTGGTAAAGGCTTCCTATAGAAGGTGGGATTTTAGCCAGGACCTGTCAGAAACCAGAGGAGCTAGGCAGTGGAGATGAGAAGGGAGAGAATTTCAGTTATGGCAACAGCCAGAGAAAATGCACAATGCGTACACAATCACACAATGGAAGGTGGCATGATGGGAGTAGAGCTCTGGGCCTGGAGTCAGGAAGACTCATCTTCATGAGTACAAATCTGGCCTCAGACGCTTGGTAGCTGTGTGGCTTGGGCAAGTCACTCAACCCTGTTTTCCTCAGTTTTCTCATCTGTAAGGAAATGCCAAACCACTTCAGCATCTTTGCCTTGGAAACCCCAAATGGGCTCATGAAGTGTTGGATAAGAGTTGACCAAACAGCAGCAGCAGAACACGGAGTGTGGTGTGTGAGGAACATAAAGGAAGCCTGTGTTGCTGGACCACATAGTACACAGAGGGGATTAAGGTCTAACAAGACTGCAGAGGCAGGAAGGGGACAGGTTCTGAAGGGCTTTGAACACGAAAGAGGGGATTTTATATTTGATCCTATGAGGAAGGTGGGGGTGGAAAACAGACGGAGAGAGGTTGATGGAATCGTCGAGGAATGAGTTCAGGCAGGTAATCAATGTTTGCTTCACCGCGTTGGACATCAAAACTTAACTGGAAAGGTGAGATTCATGAGCGGGAGAGACACTCAAGGGGCAGGCAGCTTAAAGAAAGGCGATTAGTGGAGGAAGCCTGTTGAAATGGTGTTTTCCTTCTAAGCGTAGCAGTGTATGATGGATTCTGTAGCACCACATTTCATAATCATTTGTAGATGATAATTATTTGGTGTATATAAGAAAGAAGTAGTGATACACAAGGGAAAGAGCTCTGAGTTTAGAGCCAAGAGACTTGGTTTGAATGTTAACTGCTACCCATGACCCATGTGACCTTTATATTTCTGGGCCTCAATTCCTTGTCTATAGTTTCACTTCTCTCCCTATTTTGCCCCTTTCCTTATTGTTTGGGGTTTGGGTCTAGGGAAAGTGACAGGAAGCAAAGAGAAATGTGATCCTAAGGCAATAAGGGCACCTAGGGGAAACCGATGCAAAGACAAGGGCAGTGCCTCTCTTCTGCATTGGCTTCCATTTCCATAAGACCTGCTCTTTTGGGGTCAGAGGTTCTTGACAGTGATCAGACAATCAACTCCATTCTACTTTGTGTAGAATCCCGCAATTGAGTCTCTGTGCTGTGAATGAACCCAAACCCAGACTCCAAAGTTCCTGCATCTGTGACTGATGAGCAGACCTTTAGGAAGTGTGGCTCAAACCTCCTGGAATAACTGGGTTGTTATGCTATTTGGCCTGCTCCAGGGGGGACTCAGGCTGTATTTGTCCTAGAGCCCTTAA